CTGGACCCAGTGCTCCAGGTGGGGTCTCACCAGGGCAGAGTAGAGGGGGAGGAGAAGCTCCCTCACCCTGCTGGCCACGCTCCTCTTAATGCACCCCAGGATACCACTGACCTTCTTGGCAACAAGGGCACCCTGCTGGCTCATGGCCAGCTTGTCGTCCACCAGGACTCCCAGGTCCCTCTGGGCAGAGCTGCTTTCCAGCAGGTCAGCCCCCAGTCTGTACTGGTGCCTGGGGTTCAACCTCCCCAGGGGCAGCACCCAACACTTGGCCCTTGTTGAACTTCATCAGGTTCCTCTCCTCCCAGCTCTCCAACCTGTCCAGGTCCCGCTGAATGGCAGCGCAGCCTCCCGGCATATCAGCCACTCCTCCCAGTTTTGTGTCCTCAGCATGCATCTGGCAAATGGAAAGGAGGGTCCATGCTCACCAGTCTGGGGAATTCTTGCCAGCCCAAGCTTTGAAGCAGTGGTCGCGTCCTTTTGAGGGTGAAGACTTCACCTGCCACTGAAGGCTGATGGCGTTTTGGGGCTGTGGCGTGCAGGAGGAGGAGCAGGGGCGCAGCCGGGTGCCCCCCTTCCCACATGAGCCCTTTCACCACTCACAAACTGGTCTGATGCGAGTAGGGGTACGAGGAGAGAGGTTTGGGAAGTGCAGGGCATCGTGGCCGTTTGGATGAAGGAGCAGGGGAACATGCAAGCTTGTTCATCTGACTTTCTTCCCGGCATGTCCGTGCGCTGGGAGCCGGCTTTGCAGGGCTGGCCAGGGGAGCTCTGCCTGCAGGGGGGTCTGGCAGCGCAGGGCATCGACATCAGGCGTATTTAGTTAGGGAAGGGGAAAATTGAGAGCAGTGCCAGGGTAGCAAACTCCCCAAGAACGAGCAGAGCTGGAGGGATTTGCATGGCCCGGGAGGGAAGGAAGGTGGGTGTCGGTTTGGGGGGAGCAGGGTACTGCCGGTACATCCCCGAAATCCCTGCGAGGCTGAGTCCCTGCCCCTTGTTCCTGCATGCGTGTCCAGGCAGATCCCTTGTGCCATCACCCCACCCCCGTCCCCCCACCCAGGGTCCCCCCAAGTGCAGTGAGGAGGGGGCTGCTCGGCTCCTGGGGAGGAGGAAGATGCTTCGATGGCCCACGCTGGGGGAGCACAAAGCTCTGAGGCAAAGCGACGGACGGATTTAATCGCAGAAGGATAGCGTGCCTGGTGTTCCCTGCAAGCAGGCAGCAGTCCCAGCAGCGGGAGACCCCAGCGCTGGGGATGGAGATGGTTGCCCACCCACTCATCCATGGGCAGCCCCGGTCCAACCCACTCTCGGGACGATGGCCCTGCAGGTCGCAGGGTGCACGCCGAGTCCCAGGCTGGTTGGAATTCACCTGGCATGCTTTGGAAGGGGAATTACTGAGTTCTGTTCAGCTGCGACACACAGATGTGGCATTTGGGGCTTATGGATGTTCTTTAGATGAATGTACAGCACCTGGCACGATGGGAGCTTGGCTTTGGGAGGCACCTGGAATGCAGAGCAGGAGCGGGGCTGCAATGACAGCGGGAGCTGTGGGTGCTGCTCCCCCACCCTCAGGGCTCCCCAGGAGCTGTGGGTGATGCCGCTCCTGCGCTTTTTGAAGGACAATCTTGGATCGGCTGCTTTCCAAAGCCCAGGTTCCCTCACTCCCACAGCTTCAGCTCCACAAGGTGATGGAGAAAACCAGAGCTGCCAGCAAGACTTAACTGGGCGGGAGCTCTGCCTCTCTTGCACTGGATGGGATTACCTAAATTTAAATTAAAAAAAAAGTCAGTCAGTCCCTGAATGGAAATACTGTCATGGCTCTGGATAAAAATCACCCAAAGTGGCCAGGTGGGGGGCGGTGAACCCGATGAGCAGGGTGCAGTAGCGATGCCTGCGACCTCCATCACTCCTTCCTCCAAGTTTTCAAGCTCTGAGCCCTCGGTGCCGCTCCCGGGTGGACGGGTGACGTCCTGGCGAGGTCTGAGCATCCCAGCCTGGAGTGGGGAGAGGTGACGGGGACCATCCCTGGCTGCCTGGGGTGGTGCCAGGACACAGTGTGGTGAGGAACCGCCTCGTCCCAGAGGGCACGGAGGGCTTTTCCATTTGGTTTAAATCACCAATCTTCAAAATCTGCCACTCTTCCACCATTCATCTTCCGCGGGCGTAGGCGGGGGGGATTGCTTAAACAGCGGGGAAACTGATAAGCCATAACAGATTTCTTTCTAGTAATTATTTCTAGTAATTAGCTTCTTTTCAGAGGAGTGTTTCTAATCTTGTGTGTATTGTGAGCTGCTGTGGATTGGGTTCCTCCTGGACAATGGTTTTAATCTGCCCACGGACGGGGTTTGTCGCTGCTCCTGGTTTTTTAACTTTTTTTTATTTTCTCCCCCCCTTTTAATCCCTGGCTGTGTTTTTCCTTCCCTTTTTCCCCAGGCCGTAACTCTAATGGAATTACCGGCACGGGGCTGCGGGGAGGAGCGGGGTGGGTGGCTGTGCCATGGCCGGGGCAGTGGGGGACGGGGGCTGCACTGGGGCTCCATTTCGGAGCGCGGGGACAGGGTGATGCGGGGGCACTGGTGTGAACTGGCAAAACCCGTAGGCAGCGTTGAATCGTATTTTCTTGGCTTATTTGTACACATCTGTGAGTGGGGCTTATCTTGAGGAGAGAAGTGTGCCCAGGTGGCCAAGAGGGCCAGCGGCATCCTGGCTTGGATGAGGAGTGGTGTGGCCAGCAGGAGCAGGGCAGGGAGCGTGCCCCTGTGCTGGGCACTGGGGGGGCCGCCCCTCGAGTGCTGGGGTCAGGGTTGGGCCCCTCCCTCCCCGAAGGACCTGGGGGGGCTGGAGCGTGTCCAGAGAAGGGCAGCGGAGCTGGGGAGGGGTCTGGAGCCCCAGGCTGCTGGGGAGCGGCTGGGGGAGCTGGGGGGGTTCAGCCTGGAGCAGAGGAGGCTGAGGGGA